CTCGTAATTACTATTTACTCCCTATATTTGAAGCGCGAGGCTTGGCATTATTTTGTTTGCATCTGGGAATGGAGAAGTCAGGATCACATAAAGGTTAACTGTCTAGTCTTAGCCATCAACATTTATAGAACAGAATCGATCACCTCCCCTCCCCAAAAGAATGAACCTCAAAAAATTACTTTCTCTCACTTACCTGCTACGAGAAGATAGCATCCTTCCTGCGATAGCAGCTTCATTTGCCTAATGTGCTGCTTTATCCTCTCTTTAACGTTTCCAATATTCTTTTCAACATGATCAAAAATGATTTGATCACGATCCAAAATCTCATCGGCTGCGGTGTAATACTCCTCTAAAAGTTTACTTTTTCTTAAATCCTCCTGTTTTGTTTCTGATACAATGGAAAAGGCCTAGACAAGAAAGACAGAAAAAAACAATGGTTTAACAACAACAACAACTTACAATAATAATGATAGTATCATAGGTGACGAATTACCCCTTAATTTTGGCGCGAAATTTTCAAAATTGCCATGCCAACCTTCCGTGCGTCTCAGTGCCAAGATTACAACAAAGTTTTAAAATGTTTTGAATGCGGTGAAGGTAAAAGGAGGAATGAGTTTGCGGAATGGCATGTGGCATGGCTTGAGGAATGACATAATTATATGGAATGTAATATATGAAAATGGCGCAAAGAAATAAAATTGAAGTAGAACAGAAATCATACGCGCGTTTCTGCCACGTCCTTTTTGGGAAGGTGACTTTTTTTGGCACAAATTTAAAGGAGCAATCGCCCTGCTTGCTCAAACCAACAAGGATGAGCAGCACGTTGGAGTTCACGAGGTTTATATCATTGGCCGACTTTTGTGGTGTAGTATTGGTAATGCCATGCAGTCCGACTGTTAAAGGCAAGTAGTGGAATCTTTGTAGCTGAGCGAAAAAAGCCAATCGGGAGGGACACCTAGCTTTGTGGCTTTTTGATTGTCATCGTAGTCGAGCCCGCAACACTAAAAAAAGTAGCTGCTTTTGCAAATTGATTGGCGCCAAAAAAGGGTGCACTCAAAAGTTTACTGATTTATTTCTTTTAGTCATTCTGCATTTATTACATTTCGCATAATTATGGCATTCCGCAAGCCATGCCACATGCCATGCCGCAGACGTATTCCGCCTTTTAGATTCACCGTTTTGAATGAAGATGTCAGGGCATTAAAAAACGCTTTAAAAAACCTAAACACACGAAAGAGCTCATCAAGAAGAGTTCTTTTAACAGGTATTTTGTCGAAAAATGCTGAAAATTATCAAACCTTTTTGGAAACTTGGCATAATCAACATTCATGATATGAGCATTAAAAAAAATGCAATAAAAAAAATGGGGTCACCGTGCCTGTTTATGCGTCAGCAGGCACTTAAACTGGGGTATTTTTTACTGGATGCACGTCAAAAATTCGAATCACCTTCATACAGAATTAAGTCTTTGTTACGTTAAACACAAACTTTTATTTTAAAAATAAAGCTTATTTTATTCAAATAAGCAGTGTTGCTTCATTTAAGCCGTTTTTGTTCTTCTATCAAACTTTTTTTTTTCTTCAAATATGTACTTTATTAGACTGTTCTTAGCAAATACCTGAAAAAAAAAGGAAAAAGAAAAGAAAAACCGGGGGTTACGTTGCTTATTTCCTCACAAACTACCTCGAAAGGTAGAGATTGTTTTGAGATCAAGAGATTTGCGCGGCGGAGACTGGGACGAAATACAAAATAGCGCCCAACTTGTTCGAAATGTGCACTCACTTTCAAGCTTGTTTTCGGTTGTTTTAATGTGTTTGATGTCACCAACACAGAAATTCATACTTGGAAAGAGTACAACAAATACCAAGGAATGAGGTAAGTCAAGATTTGATGAGATTTTGGAGTTATGAATCTTTATTTTGGACTATTTTGTGGCGCTGGCGTTCTGTTTTCTAGTGAGCTAGGATTCGATTTTTTTGCTTTTGCGCAAAAATGCTCAGTCCGGGCCACAACCAGATCTGGGTATGTAATTTCCTGCAATCTGATTGGCTCAGAGCTCAACCAAAACATTGACCGCGAAAGGACTAAGCTCGACAGAAATGTCGAACAGGGAAACTTTGAAGCAAATAGCTGTCGAGTGCTTTGGGTGGAATGTACCTTCAAGAAAAGTAACAGCAATACGGAGCCCATTAATCGAGATTATTTTATGCGTCATAGCGTTCGATTTACGAATATCGAGATGCTAATGATCGAGAACGCTTTCTATAAACACCCGTTGATTTCCAATAATATTTCAGGAGACCAGAAACAACTCGACGACTCCGATCGAATTGGAAGAACAGGGAATTTGAATACCGCGATACATTTTAAGTGGAAAGGTTTTAACAAGTCCTGTTTGGAATAATTTCTGCGAGCACAGCTTCGACCTGGAGAAATCTGTTCTATTCTACTTCAGGCACAATACCATACGCGCTAAAATCTAATTATTCTTATAATTATT